AAAAAAAAAAAAAAAAAAAAAAAAAATCCCACTGCATGGGCTCTGTGCCCATAGCACAGTGGTTATGGCACCGGCCACATGCACTGAGGTTGGGGGTTTGAAGCTGGTCCGGGCCAGCTCAGCAACAGTGACAACTGCAACAAAAAAATAGCCGGGCATTGTAGCAGGCACCTATAGTTCTAGCTATTTGGGAGGCTGAGGCAAGAGAATCGCTTAAGCCCAAGAGTTTGAGGTTGCTGTGAGCTGTGATGCCATGGCACTCTACCAAGGGTGACATAGTGAGACTGTCTCAAAAAATAAAAAGTAAATAAAAATAAATAAATCACACTGCAGGGATAGCTGCTAGAGATACTTTTCCCTGAGCAGAACTGTAACCACTTACATTATTCCTCTGAAGGCAACCAGAGGCGTCTCCATTAAGAGCCCCTTTTGTCCTTTCAGGTAAGGTGAAGAGTTAAAGTCGTAGCTATTCAGATGGAGGAAAACAACTGCTGGTCTATACTTAATCTTCAGTTTGTTTTCTTTAGCCTATTTCTTCTTTTTTTTTTTCTGTCTCCCTCCAGCTTCTCTTGTCCTAAGAATAAAAAACTCTGAACCCCTAGATGTATCTCCAGCTCTGTGGGGTTAACACAAGTAGTGAATTGTATCTCTTCCCTTTTTGTCTACAATAAAGATAATTTGAAACTTGAAAGGAAAATAAACCTTCACCGTGAACATCAACTTTCAATCAACCCTGACCTCTATCTCTTTTTCTGAATATCTCACCGGAGCAAACTTTGTCTTTTAGCATCAAGAAATTGCAGAAGAAAGAAATGTTAGATTTAGTTTTTAATTAACTTTGGCATTGATTTCTACATAACTCTCCATGAGTCCCGGTTCTTTAGTGAATTGGATTAATCTCAGAGATTAATGGTTGTTCCCAGGGGCTTTTCTGGACCAGGTTCCAGATGCTTCGTACTTTCTTCTTCTGCTTGTTTGTGAACTCATTAGCTTACTCTGCTATTCACCCTAAAATGCACAGACACACACAGAAACACAGGCTCATGTGTAGGCACCAAAGGTGCTTTCAGAATGAAAACATTGAGGAGAATGGAAGATGGTCATAAACTACATTTAGCAGTTGACATAAAAAGTCCTGTGCTGCAATTTTGCCTAGTTCGATATATTTTTTAACAAATTGTTCATAGCAACCATGATACACCTTGCATGAAAATTCAGTTACGTATAATGAAAGAGGAAAGAGGTTAGTGGACCTTAAAATCTCTACAAACCAGGATGACATACAATATGTTTTAGCTATTAGAAGTTGAAATATTCCTTTCCGCACAAATTGCTGTAAGGTGAAATACTGTGTGAAAAAAATAGCATAATATTTTCCAAAGTGAGAGAAAAATTTAAAAATGAAAGAAAAAATATTGGAAAATAAAATGCTTCAGGTATCATTTCAGTGAAGTGACTAAACTTTGCATTTTTCCATCTAATACATTGTCATGGTAAGCTATCTTTAGCCAGATGAATTCATCATACTCCTCTCTATCAGATTTGAATTTCTGCATCTGAATGCATATTTATGAGCCATTTTCTTCTATTTGTTGTCAGTAAAAATTCTGATTGATCTGATATCTGAGTATTGATTACAATCAAGCAAAATATCCATCCAATATCTGCTATTGCTATTTTAGAAGTTATTTTCTTTTCCTTTTCATATCTGAAAATATTTTTATACTTAAACACCAAGAGAATAGATTGAAAGTTTCTTGGAATTATAGAATAATCCTAAAGAAACCAGTGGAATTTAATTATATGACATATTGACTGATGCCTATTTCTGTCCATTGTTTCCTAACACAATGGATGGCATCTGAATCCCCCAGTTAAGCCATCCCCTCCCTAACCCCTACAGCAGTGGTTCTCAACCTGTGGGTCTTGACCCACAGGAACTGTATTAAAGGGCCGCGGCATTAGGAAGGTTGAGAATCACTGCCCTAGAATTTTCCTTGACTCTGCCCTTCCTTCATGACCACTTTCTGAGTCCCTGGTGGCCTCTCTGCTTCTGCTCTCACTCAGGCTAAATATCTGTTTTCCTGTTGGTCTTCTTTCCTTTAATTCTTTCTCTGTCCTCATCCAGGTGACTGCTACCTGTCAGGCCCATTGAACCTCCTGTGTTTTACATTTTAATTGCATCAAAATCTCTTTTCCTCTAACATTATGGCTCTGCCTCTCTCACTTCAACACCTTTGCATAGACCACTTCCTCAGCCTGGGTTGCTTACCTTCTCCCTTCTAGTCTCTGCTGCTACCTGATTGCGTCCAAGTCACCTGGCAGACCTCAGCTTAGCTGTTCTGTCTTCCAGGGAGACTTTCTTGACTCAGTCCCAGGTTAAATACCCCTGTGTGCTTTTTCAGCTTCTGACTTCCTCTGAGGACGTTCTAATCCTGCTTTGAGTAATAGGCTGTTTTTCTTCTTTGTTTTACAATGTGAGAAGAGGGACCATCCCTGCGTTCCTCATCATGGGATCCCTAGAACCTAACATGGTGCCCAGAATGTGGGGGAAACTTACTTTTGAAAGTATTTTTGGTTTTTAGTATTTTCTTCATGATATACTTCACTAATGTTCCAGGTGCCTTTTAAACTCTTCATAAGAGTTTAGATTTTAGAACACAAATTTAAATGGCTTCACTTTACTGTAGTAACTAGGACATGGTATAAACCAAAAGTCATTTTTAAAAACTCAGCCCCAAACAACTGTGTCTGAAATAGTACGAGGATTCTTCAAAGTAGTAAACACACAGCCGGCAATATTCCACAGCCACGCCTACTGAATGGGTGCAGGTCATGGATAAGAAATGAACACTCACGCTTTTTCTGGAAAAAAGAAAACCCTGTTGTTTTATTATTATTTAGAAAGCACACACAGTAATTTATTGGGGAAAAAGAGAAAATGCAAAATAAGTGAGCATACAAATTCTTTTTGAAAGAACTGGTGTCGCTTCCCGAGTAATATATCTACGTGAGCTTTTTAAACCTTTGCATTTCTTATATCTGTATCCATAATCAGAGTTATGGGTAGAGATATATGGAAACACATCACACACACATCAGAAATCCTTCCTCCAAAGATTTCTGTTACTTCCTTTCTCTTCTGCCAGGTGTGTTCTTGGATCAGGCCATAGTCTCTTTTCTCTGAGTTCGTCTTTGATGACAAGTAAGAATACTTGTGAAGGAAGATTTCCCCTTAGTTCGTGACTTTTTCTTTAATTTTTTCTGATTCTTGAGTGAGATTCCCAGTTCTTCCATGATGGCATTGAAAGAGAGACACTAGGGAACATGAAATAACAGAGCATCAGTTTAATCAAACTTTTCTCCATTGAACATTGACCTGCCTCTTGCCTAGGTTTTTATGAACACAAGATACCAGTCTGAAGTCAGCTCTGCCACAACTGGCCAGTTCCCCTCACCTCCTCCTCCACCCACTGGCCACCCACTTTTTCTGCTTGGGGAAACTGAGGTGGCAAGTTAGCTGGGCAAACTTTGGCGTTTCATTCACAAATGCAGAAGTATAAAACTACCCAGTTAGAGAAAACAGAAAGCTCTCAAAATAGAAAACTTACCTTTGCCGAGACACCAAAATAGAGTTAAATTAAGTCATTTTCCCCCATTGAGATGATCCAAACATTGATAGGTTTATCAAGGCATATGGACACTTCAGTAATGCTATAGAAAGTGAACAAACCTTCTCTACACCAAGGCTTTGTTTTTTTCTCCCATGAAACCTTACTTTGTTCCTAAAATAAAATCTAATTCTTGATGACTTTCCTTTCTGATAAAAAAAAAGAAAAAAAACAATTTTAAATTGTATATTTTCTCCAAAAAAGAAACCAAAAAACCCCAAAAAACAGAATTTCTGGTAGCAGCAATGATGCAGCTGTGGTTGAAATGAAAAATAATATGGTACTGAACTGCACAGCAAAAATGATGGCATCGTACAAAACAAAATGGGACTATGATTATAAAGTATTGTACATATGCAGACAGTTACACCACATCTATTCACATGCACAGTAGATAAAGGCAGAATACAACACAATTGACTGTCATTTTTCTAGCCAAGATAAGATCTTTGAGTGATAAATTTCTGCTTATCGGAACTTCTGTAGTTTCTTTTTGATGGGGTTA